ATGACAATTTTCCCACGTCTCGAACTGAACGGGCCATGGGACGCGTCAGAAGGTTCCTAGACCATCGCGGCAACTCTTGTACGCATGTTGCCGGGGTCCGTCTTTGAGGTATTGTAAGCCGTGTTGGAAGCATATTCGGCCTATCTTGGGCCGCCTCGGAGCTTTCTTCTTCAGAACGGGGGTCTCGAGGGGCCTTCCTCATACTATATGATCAGATCCTTGAAGTTGTGCAAGAGCCAACTACGCAATTCTGAACTCTGGCCACATCTACGGCTTCCCCTCAAGATCCATGTATTCCTTCTCCTCACGCCGTTGCCCTAGGACTCTATTCTTCACTCGCGTTGCTATGCGTCGCTTCTGTTATTCCTTCTCCTATTTCTCGGGATCGCCTGCACCCTCTTCAAATGGAGGCGCGTTGCTGAGGCGACCACTGTTGCGGAACCGCAGCGCAGGGTCTCAGGCTCAACCGCGTCGCCCCTTGAGCGCTCACAAACTAATAAATTAATAACGCCGTGTCTGCACGACACATCGGCTGAAGAAGTGCCGCCGGCTGGAGGCGCATGTCCAGACCAAGGCACAGACATCAAAAACAGTTCAGGAAAAGATGTACCAGCTGGCGATTGTCCACCACGCGTGCGGGATATAGTGTCCAGGACTGAGAAATTGATACAAGCATTATCGACCCACGAACCCGGATTGGAATGTAGAAATGTAAAGCATGGCAACGTTTCAAAGACACCTGATTGGGAGACCGGCAGATGCAATGCTGAGTGTATCGATCTTGACATTTGTTCCGCTCGAAGCCCGAGCCGACTTGACTCGCCGCTGGCGCTTTCGCCTGCGGTTGCGACAAAAAGTATCGATCTTGATGTATCGTGCCGAAGGCTGTGCTGTGCTGCGCTGTGCTGAATTGCAATGTGCCATGCCGCGATTGTGCTCTATAGCGTTGTGGATCGAGTCCTCCTTTGCATCTGAGTCCTGACCGAACTGATCTGGATCTTAAGCTCGAGCTGCCTGCGCACGTAGTGGCTGCCCCAGAGCTAATTAACAGGACGACATGCTAGGAGGACGCGCCGCGGAACGTCCCAAGGGACGCGCCAGGCGACGTGCCAGAGGACGTGGCATGGGGACGCACCGCGGGACGTGCCAAGGGGACGCGCTACGGAACGTGCCAATGGACGTGCCACGGGACGTGCCAGGGGACGCGCCGCGCGACGTGCCGGGAGGACTCGCCACGGGACGCGCCACGGAACGTGCTAGGCTGCAATGCTGAATGTATCGATCTTGATGTACCGTGCCGAGTGCTGTGCTGTGCTGCGCCGTGCTGTACGGCGATGTGCCATGCTGCGATTGTGCTCTATAGCGTTGTGGAGCGAGTCCTCCTTTGCATCCGAGTCTTGACCGAACTGATCTGGATCTTAAGCTCGAGCTGCCTGAGCACATAGTAGCTGCCCCAGAGCACATTGACAGGAGAAAGTGCCAGGAGGACGCGCCGCGGAGCGTCCCAAGGGACGCGCCAGGCGACGTGCCAGGGGACGTGCCATGGGGATGCACCGCGGGACGTGCCAAAGGTACGCACTACGGAACGTGCCCATGGACGTGCCACCTCATGTTAGACATCCGCCTGGGCGAACTGGACATGTGAAGACAAGTGGCTCGCTCGAGACATCCTCAACACATCTTCATGTTAGCCGTCCGTTCCAGGCCCCCAGGAAGGCCCCAGGAAGCCCATGTTAGATAACCCCCTGGGTGGCCTGGACACGTAAAAACATTGTGCCAACGCTGGGCAACCATGTTAGATACACTCCTGGGTGGCCTGGACACGTTAAAACACGTGGTCCGTGCTCGGGACAACCATGTTAGATATCCCCCTGGGTGGCCTGGAAACGTACAAACACGTGGATCCAGCTCTGGGCAACCATGTTAGATACACCCCTGGGTGGCCTGGACACGTTAAAACACGCGGTCCTTGCTCGGGACAATCATGCTAGATGCCCCCATGGGTGGCCTGGACACGTAAAAACACGTGGCTCCAGCTCGGGACAATCATGTCAAATACCCCCCTGCGTGGCCTGGATACGCTGAATTCCCGCTCACGCTCGAGACATCCTCGCTATGTCGTCCCTAGAGAGGCCCCCAAAGCGCCACCCCCTGACTTTTCTGAATTAGGATATTGCTCGGGTAGCGCTTTTCGGCCCCGCGTGCGTTTCCTTATACTTCGGCGTTGGTCCCAACGCCATGTTGGATACTCTCTCTGGGCGGCCTGGACATGTAAAAACACGTGGTTCCAGTTCGGGACAGTCATGTAAGGTATCCCCCTGGGTGTCACCCAGGGGGACCAACATGTTAGCTACACCCCAAGGTGCCCGTTCGGGACCAACATATTAGACACACCCCTGGGTGGCCTGGACACGTCAAAACACGTGGTCCGTGATCGGAACAACCATGTTAGATGTCCCCCTGGGTGGCCTGGACACGTAAAAACATATGGTTCCAGCGAGGGACCACCATTTTATATACCCGCCAGGGTGGCCTGGACACGTCAAAACACGTGGTTCCAGCTCGGGACAGTCGCGTTAGATATCCACCTGGGTGGCCTGGACATGTAAAAACACGTGGTTCCAGCTCGGGGCAACCATGTTAGATATCCTCTGCGTGGCCTGGATACGCTGAATTCCCACTCCCGCTGGAGACATCCTCGCAATGTCGTCCCTGGGGAGGCCCCCAAAGCGCCACCCCCTTTCCAGAGCAAGAAAACATAACTTTTCTGGATTGGGGTATATGTTCGGGTAGCGCTTTTCGGCTCCCCGTGCGTTTCTTGATAATTCGGCGTTGGGCCCGACGCAATGTCAGATACCCCCCTGGGCGGTCTGGACACGTAAAAACACATGTTTGCAGTTCGGGACAATCATGTTAGATACCCCACTGGGTGGCAAAACACGTGGTTCCAGCTCGGGACAACCATGTTAGATGCCCCACTGGGTGACCTGGGTCCTCGTGGGGCTCGTGCCCCTGGAGAGGGCCAATTTATGGGAACACAAATAAGAGCACACGGATTCGTGCCCCTGACCCAAATGTGTCTCGCACCCTCTGTTTTATCGATCGGAATCTTAAAAAACAGCGTCTCGCCCGGGACATCCCCAAAATAATTCGCTGGCCCGACGCAACCTCGCCATGTATCGCAAATAAGTTCGCCAGCCCTACAACCGTCGGGGCCGGGGGGAAAACAAAACTTAACATGATCGACCCACGAACCCAGAAAGGAATACAGAAATGTAAGGCACGGCATCGCTTCAAAGCCACCTGATTGGGCGACGGGCAAATGCAATGCTGAAGATATCGATTTCAATGTAGTGCCGTGCCGAGGGCTGTGCTGCTGTGTCGTGCTGAACTGCGATGTGCCATGCCGCGATTGTGCTCTATAGCGTTGTGGATCGAGCCCTCCTTTGCATCCGAGTCCTGACTGAACTGATCTGGATCTTAAGCTCGAGCTGCCTGGGCACATAGTACCTGCCCCAGAGCTAATTGACAAGGGGACATATCAGGAGGACGCGCCGTGGAACGTCCCAAGGGACGCGCCAGGCGACGTGCCAGGGGACGTGCCATGGGGACGCACCGCGGGATGTGCCAAGGGGACGCGCTATGGAACGTGCCAATGGACGTGCCGCGGGACGTGCCAGGGGACGCGCCGCGCGACGTGCCAAGGGGACTCGCCACGGGACGCGCCACGGAACGTGCCAAGGAACGTGCCAAGTTGCAATGCTACATGTATCGGTATTGATCTACCGTGCCGAAGGCTGTGATGTGCTGCGCCGTGCTGAACTGCGATGTGCCATGCCGCGATTGTGCTCTATAGCGTTGTGGCTCGAATGCTCCTTCGCATCCGAGTCCTAACCGAACTGATCTGGATCTTATGCTCGAGCTGCCTCAGCACATAGTACCTGCCCCAGAGCTCATTGACAGGGGGGCATGCCAGCAGGACGCGCCGTGGAAAGTCACAAGTGACGCGCTAGGCGACGCGCCAGAAGACGTACCATGGGGACGCACCGCGGGACATGCCAAGGGGACACGCTACGGAACTAAAATACGTGGCCCTTGCTCGGGGCAGCCATAATAGATATCCCCCTGGATGGCCTGGACACTTAAAAACGTTTGGTGTCAGCTCGGGGAACCATATTAGATACACCCCCGAGTAGCTTGGACACGTGAAAGCACTTGGTCCTTGCTCAGAACAGTCATGTTAGATACCCCCCTGGGTGGCCTGCATACGCAAAAACACGTTGTTCAAGGTCGGGACAACCATGTTAGGTATCCCTCCCGGGTAGCCTGGACATTCAAAAACGCATGATTCCAGCTCGGGACCACTAAGTTAGATACACCCCGGGTGGCCTGCACACGAAAAAACACGCGGTCCAGCCCACCCAGGTGGCATATCTAACATGCGGTCGCCTGGGGCGCAGGAAGGCCCAGGAACGCCCAGAGGCGCCTGGAGGCCAAACAATGAACGAATCGATACCACATACAAATGAACGCTTGGCGTTCCGTTCCGAGTCCCAGGAAGGACCCAGGAGGCCCATGCTAGATACCGCCCGGGTGGCCTGGACACGTGAAAGCACGTGGTTCCAGCTCGGGACCACCATGGTAGATACCCCATCTGGGTGGCCTGGACAAGTGAAAACACACGGTTCCAGCGCAGGACCACAATGTTGGATACCCCCTCGGGTGGCGTGGACATGTAGAAACACTTGGTTCCTGCGAGGGACCACCATGTTAGATGCCCCCCTGGGCGGCCTGGACACGTAATTACGCTACCGAGAAACCCCACATACCTATTTTATTTCCTGCGTGTACCATCGGCACTAATCTTATTACCAAAACAACAACAAGTACTACTACTACTACCACCACCACTACTACTACTACCACCACCACCACCACCACCACCACTACCACCACCACCACCACGACTACTACTACTACTACTACTACTACTACTACTACTAATAATAATACTACTACTACTAAGAATGAATGGGTAAGGGTAAGGGTTCGGGTTCGGGTTCGGGTTCGGGTTCGGGTTCGGTTCCACACAATCAGTTAAAACCAAATAAAATAACATAGAATAGTCGGAGTTTAATCGTACACGAAGCAGGAGTTCGGAAATCCACAATTTCGCCATTCGCTGATAGGAAAACAATACAGGGGGCTATAGAGCTAATAGTACACGAAAATGAGGTTCGGAAGCCCACTGATTCTAATAGTACACGAAGAAGGGGTTCGGAAACCCAATTTCGCCGTCCGCTCGTAAGAAAACAATACAGGGGCTATAGAGCCAATAGTACACGAAGGTGAGGTTCGCAAACCCATTGTGGAAAACGAGAAAACAGCGTTCCTCTTTTCCTGTTCGCTTTCTTCTTCATCATCCTCCTCCCCCTCCTCTTCCTCCTTCTCCTCCTCCTCCTCATCCTGCCCGTCCTCCTCCTCCTCCTCCTCCTCCTCTTCCTCCTCCTCCTCCTCCTCCCCTCCTCCTCCTCCTCCTCTTCCTCCTCCTCCTCCTCTTTCTCCCCATCCTCTCCCTCCTCCCCTCCCCCTCCTCCTCTCTACTCCTCCTCCTCCTCCTTCCTCCCCTCCTCCTCCTCCTCCTTCTTCCCCCTCCTCCTCCTCCTCCTCCTCCTCCTCCTCCTCCCTCCTCCTCATCCTCCTCCTCTCCCCCCCTCCTCCCCTCCTCCTCCTC